TCATGGTTCCTGCCTTTGTGGCCTCAAGAATAAATGCACACATTGCACAGCACTTGGAGCTACATGTTAAATTAATTCAGAAGCTTAAGGTAACGCACCAATGGCTTATTGTTTCTCTTCTGGACTTTTCTTGATGAGGAATAAGGCCTAAGGACAGTCCAGAGACGGTAAACTATTCAACCAAACAACACTATTTATAAACCATTTCCACATAATTGCATTTTCAATTCAATTTGCAACAGAAGTGATTTTGTTTAGATACAGTTTTTAAGCTCATGTGAAAATTAAAGCCTGAACCTCCAGCTATCCTTTCTGTGAGGCAAGCACTTTATTTACTCTCATGTTATGTGAGCAGAAGTTTATGTGTCTATGAGAAAAGACATTCATGGTGTGGCTGAAAAGTGTACAGTCATTTGAAATATTTATTCTAAATCTGGTAATAATTTCTTTTTTTCTCCTAGAATTTACAGTAGAAGGTCATTTGAGTTGGCCTTCTCCATAGCCATTTTATATTAGATCATCTATTTTTATTGTCTTCAAATAGAAGTGTCATGTCCACTGTCTTAGTTAGTGAGAATCACTCCTATTTGATAAGGCTAGAAGCTGGTCTTTGAAAATGACTTGACTATCCTCAAAATGTAAAATTTAATGACTAAACTTATCCAAGACCTACAATGAAGGGGATGGTAGGAGTGTTCCTCCATCCCCCAGTGAACGAGAACAAATTTAACTCAATTAGTCTAAATGCTTTTACTCCACATATATGAACTCAAAGATTTGCTGCAAAAATAAGAACAACTTGTTTTTCTCATGTTTCCAGCAGCAGGAAAATAAGTTTTCAGAAAACATGTAGCTGTCTTCATCAGTTTTGCAGAGAGTCCGAGAAATATTTTGCCCCTGAGAAGCCTCACAGCCTTTGTATGAGACAAAATTCTGGCAGATCATGGAGCATAACCAGTAGCCCAGACATTTCTGTGGTAAACCACCATGTTCTTTCAAGAGCTGCTGCTTTTTACCCTGGCGTTAATCTTCCCAGCTGTTTATTTGTGCCCAGGTATGAAATCAAATGTTGGGAGAAATCAAATTCTGGGCAGCAGCGTGACTCAGAGCCCAGCACCATGCTCCTTTGAAGGAAGAGTCTGGCAGGCTGTGCTACGTGGGATCATGCCTTAGGTATGCACATGCAAATATACAAACTTCAGTCCTGAGTAGCAATTTGTCTGAGATGACTACTAGCTTGTTCCCAGGAGAGCATGAAAAGAAAGCATGCAGGTAGTAGGGGAAACTGGTATTGCATGATAAGTCAGTGTTCCCCACAAGCTTCTCTCAGTACCATGTGGATTCTGTGCCATCAGGAATAAGAGAACCTAATTTTAAATGTCCTGTTCTGGTCTCAGCACTATGGTGATTTGGGACCAACTCTGCCAAAGTCATTGGCGATACTTAGTAAGTAATCAATCAGATATATGGGACTGATGATTATATTTTATTCATTTGAATTTATATATTTGGAATGCAAAATATGAAGAAAAAAAGGCAGTGTCTTACTATTTAGCAGTGGTTAACCTAGAGAAAAAGCCTGCCTCTTATACTGGTTAGCTGCTCCTCTGGACCAACTTCCATTTTTCACTGAGGAAGTCAAATGGGAGTAACTCCAGTTAAAGTGTGTGACATGATGCAACTTTAACGCAACTCATCTACTGCAATAACACATATTGCAGCAGAAATAAAAAGAAACAAATAGATTTTGGTTTTCTAGAATTTGCATCTGAACTTTGAGCATACATATGATTCCATGACAAAAACCATTAAATTATTTTAATGTTAGATAGACAAATGGGAACTGATATCATGTGAATATAACCTTTATCTGTGTGTTGAATTCCAATTTCTTGTGCCTTGTAGGACTGGTTGCATGGTTAGCTACAGAATTTTGTACAGCTGCTAAATAAACAATGTGTATATGACTACGTGGTCTGAGAAGTAAGCCTCTGCATCCGTCCCTTCACTGTTACACAGAAGGAAGAGTTCAGGGAATACAAAGCTAGTCATTGCACTGGAGGAAGTGGTCTTAGGAAAATAAAGTCTTTTAAATATATCTATGCTCCTATGCTTTCTGGTTGATTTTCTGTGCAATCCTGCACAAAACATACAGATTATATCTATACTATTTAATACAGCATCCTGAAGAAATATCTACAATAACATTGACTGAATTGTTGTAACTTTTATTGTCCTCATTTCACAGAATTTTTATGTGTTAAAAAAATGTACCACATATATCAAGTGGTATTGTGGTAATAAATTATTTATCAAATGAGGTACAAGAAAACATTGGAAATCTTGTTGCAAGATAGTTTATTGTTTTTTTATTGTTCTTTTCTGTTTTGTTTTGGTTTTGGAAAGAAGATGGTAAATAACTGTAGGAATATGGAATTTTAGAAAATAATAACTCATTGTTTCTCAACCTTCTGTTCTTTCTGTAAAATAGAATTCCTTAGAAAATTGTACTATGAATTTGTGTGGCTGCAGACATAGAAACAATTTTTTTTCTGTATTTACTGTTGCACTTTTATTGTTCGTGCATGGGACCATGAATGGATCAGGGAGGAGTGTAAACCAAACCTGGTACCAAAGCAGCAGGAGTCCTACTGCAGTCAACAGAGGTGCTTCCACTTCAGCCATCACTGAGTTCTTCCAGGGATTCAGGCACATTTCTGCACAGTTCACTGGCCCAGTGCTCTGCCTTCTCTTTGGTCAGATGTCTCAGATGCACTACTCCACAGCGAAGATGTGGCTCCTCATTGAGGGAAGGGGCTCACCTCTATCTAGTAAGGAATATTTTAGTGCAGTGTGTTGATCAGAGATGCTCCCACTGATGCATACGGTTCTGCCAAATCTGCTTTCCATCCACACTGGACTGGGGATGAACCTGGCAATGAGAAATAGGTGCCAGGGCAGGGATCTGAGCAGGAGACAAATGTGCAAATGCTAGAGATGCTTGATAACTATGCACATTCTGAGGGTCATTATGACTGCTGCCCTTCAGAAGAGGAGATAGCAGGGATTAGGAGTTGCCCCATGCCAGTGGGAGGGAGTCACGCAGTAGCACCAAAGCAAGTCTGCTCTTCTGAGGGCCCTTCTTATCTGAAAAATAGAAGTTGTATGTTTATGATTTGACTTTTCCATGTCTTCATGTGGGTAAAATGGTTGCTCAAATGTCCCACAGAATGTGAATGCAGCATTTGTGTGAGTAGCAACATTTTCAAATGTGATCTAAGAATCCAGGAAGCCTTTTGTACACCCACCTTTGCCATTCCCTTTTTATCTGCTTTGAGGCCCTTTCATAAAGTTCTCTTTTCACCTTTAAAAACTCATGCATCATTACCATGTTCTCACAGAGAACAGCTGTTTCTATTCTGAATCTTCAGCTCCATGTCTGATCCTACAGGTTTTTTTTCTTGATTGAAGTTCTGTGGTCTTATGTGAGTGAATATCTTGCAATTACATTTCATAATAATTGGGAAGAGAGTGTAAAAAACCACAGCAGCACTAGCTCTGGAGAAATGTAAGAATTGCTGCATGAAAGCAACAAAAGTATACACAGCTGGTTTTTGGAGGCAGAAAAAGAGGCCAGTTCAGAGCACTGAGCAGTTCAGAGATGAAATGATATTCTGATTTTGCTAACAGCAGCACTAGCATTGGTATTTTGCCATTTGCTTTGGCTTTCCTTTTTATTCTCTCTCTCTGTACTGGACTTAAAAACATTTTAAGGCAAACTAAGACCGTCTCATTTATCTATTACAGGAGATATTTTTTATTGATCTAAGTGCAGCACTTCCTTTTTAAATGCAAGACAAAAAGCCTTCACTCCCAGTTTTGTGTGGAAAGAAGTTCTTCAGGAGCAGGATGGATGCTTGGCTGAATAACCCAGGCAGTTCCTTCAGAATGAAGGTGTGATAGAGGTGAGATCTCTATGAGCACTGAGGATCCTTGCACTCTATATTATTTCAGATAGACCTCACAGGTAAAAATCTTGCCAGTGTTATTTTTCTTTTTTTAAGAAATGTGCTATTCCTACTTAGAAGATTGCTTGCTTTCATGAGAAAAATTGTGCAAAGTGGCCTGCACAGGAGCTGGCTGACAGTTATGTAGCAATAGCAAATACTAGATCAGGAACTCAGATCCAAATTTCTCCAGAGTTTAGGAATATTCTGCTTTTGTTTCTGTGCATTCTGGATTTGTCTCTAGCAAATATAAGGGACATTATTTATGTATGATAGAGTTTCTTGAATAGTTATCACAGCCTGTTTTTGAGGATGTTGCCCTGAGAATGTTTCTACTTTTTGTGAGATCCCTGCAGAACCCATGCAGACCTTTGCATGGACAGAAGTGTTTTGCATGTGATAATTACACAGGGATATAGCAGACAGTCTGGAATAGATCAGCCTCTCTACCTTGATGCTTTATAATGACTTTAGAAGCCAAATAGAGATAATTATTTTCCTTCTGAATTTTCATTTTCTGTTGCTACTTGGCAGCCTTAATTTCATTCTGTCCCAAAAAGCACTCTCTACAAACTCTGCTAAGGAAGTACAATTGCCTTAAAAAAGTAGCAAAAGTATGTGAGAGTTAAATGTAACTTTTTTTCCCATAAATGTCATTCTCCTGGCTAAGAATTCTTTAATAGATACTGAGCAGCGCAGAACTGAAAGTATTTTTAATTTCAGTGCTTTGTATATTTACAGAGGGATTACAACAAACTTCTACACTTTATCTACATTTTAATAGGTCAGTGTGAACATAAGAAGTGTATTAAGGTGGACTGCCTCACTTATTAAACTTACGTAAATTCGTCAAAAGCCCTCAGCAATTGTGTGCAACAGGGGCTGGAAAGCCACGCACGATTGAGGTCATGCATCCAGCCAGTTTGTAAGATGATCCCTCTGTATGAGCCATCAGCCATCCTTAGCATAGGGGCGCACTCATACACACATTCCTGTCAAGTCATCTTGTGAAAGGCTGCTTGCTTCCAGCTTGGCTTGAATGTGCAACCTTAATAAAACTCACTGAAGTCTGAGAGAAAATAGCAGTTCTGCTGCAGATAGTGTAGGGGAAAGAGACTGGGATATGCATATGCAGCTGACTAAAGCAGGCTACATGCTGGACTGTAACAGAGAGGAAACAATAAATCTTAACTACTATGCAATAAATATTCCCAATTTTAACTAAGGAAGTTATTCTCATAGTTAAATTTAAAAGAAAATAACAATTTATCCAAGCTTTATTATCAAACTGTGCTTTTCCAGTCCTTTTTTTTTTTTTTTCCTAGAAACTTTAAAAGAAATTAAGAAAAAAACTAAAGAAAGAGGAAGAAGTTTTTCTAAGAGTGGGAAAGGAAAGTAATAGTAACATGTCAGTTTTCCTTTCCTTTGCTTTTCTGGCAGCACTCCTTGCTCATATAGGCTGTACCACTCAGCGCCGGGGTCCGGAAGCCAGTGGAAGAAGATTTAACCGGATTCAGCACGGGCAGTGCACCTATACTTTCATTCTGCCAGAACAGGATGGGAACTGTCGTGAAAGCACGACAGACCAGTACAACAGTAACGCTCTTCAGAGAGATGCTCCTCACGTGGAACAGGATTTCTCTTTCCAGAAACTGCAGCATCTGGAACATGTGATGGAAAACTACACGCAGTGGCTGCAAAAAGTAAGTGTTTCCTTTTTCACTTCTCACTCAGTGAGCGTTTGTTGTTGATGGCTGTTGTTTTTTTTTTTTTAATTGTGCTTGTGTAGTTCATAGTTTTCACGGGTTCTTTTGAGAACTGAGGTTTTATCTCATTTATGCATAGGGGGGAAATCTCACAGGCAGAGTGCACTCTTTTAGGGGCATTGTTTTTGTGAACAGAATTTTTTTCACACCGCTGAAAGACGCAGTTTCTTAACGCTTTATCTTGAGAGACCATGGGTGTTTTGTGAACTAGTGTACACAAGAATCACCAGAGGTTCTAAAGACAGAGCTTACTAAGTAGCCCTGTAATCTCTACTTATGGTTCACAGAGTCAGAGTAGATGTCATGCAGGATACCTGCTACTCTGACAGCAAAAGGGGACGTTCGAAATAATCAGCACTTATAGGCACTGTGTTAAGAATATCACTGCTTCTTCAGAAATAGATCCTGTAATACTATTCCACCCAGTTAATTGCTAGAAAGAAAGAAAAAAGCACTTAGGCATTCACACATCTAAATCATGACAGTAAAACTTTTCATTTGCATAGATTACAGCTGTTTTAATTTGTGTTTGTTCTTTCATGGAAAGGGAAAAATGAGCTGAAAGGTGTTGTAGTAACTTTGAAGAAGTAATGCTTTTAAAGAAGTCGCACCAGAGATCTGAACTTCCACTAAACTTTTCAGTATTCAGTGTATAAGCTGAAGTGTGGTCCAGAAAATACTTTAATGTGTAAATAAATACCCATGTGAACAGCCCTCATTCACCTTAACAGGATTACTCACTGCACCACAATTACATACACTACAGTAACTTGTCCATGTTTTGGTAATGAAAATACCTCGTGAGAGCTGACAAGCAAAAATAAATAAATAATGAAACAGCCTTTGTATCTTGTTACTTGTAAGGTTCCCATTCTTACTCTGACATTTTGACTTGTCAAAACTGAGAATGTTGAGCAATTGGTGATGCAATTAGTTATGCAAAATGGCATATGTATACTTCTGTATACATTCCTTTAATGGATACTTGATATAGCTGTAACATAGATTTATATAAGAATGACAATCAGTGAAAATCTGGTGAGGACTCTGCTAGGTAAGCTAAAGTTTCCCATTAATATATGTATTGATAATTATCTCAATTACAAGTTTTGGTTTGTCCAAACAGCATAAAAAACAGAAATATGTTAAAAAACATAAACTACCCTCCCATCCCCCTATGTCTAATAAAATCCTTAGAAAGAATTTTCTGATCTCTTGATAAATTGTACTTCTTCCATATCTGGCTCCAGAAAGAGAGAAACAAATCTATCCAGTGAACATGTGACTATAAAACAAAATGTAACCAAGCTTTTCTTTTTAGAATGACTTTCTTCAGTTTTTAATAACTTGGTCTGCTTTGGGGAATATAGGGTTGGAAATGAGGGGGCGTCTTTTGTAGAGGAAAGTATTTCTTAAGAAATTATTTTGCTGTACCTTGGGAGGCTGAGGCAAGAACTGAGAGGAAAATTTGTATCTGTGTTTATGCACACATGATTTTACTTGAGCAAATTGCCTGCTGAATCATGCTTATGAGAGTTCACTTATTCTGTGTTTGTCCACTAGAGACTGAACTAAGATCACTATTTCACTGTGAACTGAACAGGAAGAAAAATGAGTCTCTGGAGTGCGAAAGTCTGAGTTAGGGTTAGTGCTCTCACACTTTGGAAGGAAGTGATTGAGGTAGGCAGGTAGGAAGCCCAGTGAAAGGGTTTTGTATTGAGGACTCTTTTCTTCTGCAGTGATTGAAAAACTGACAGTGGGCAGAGCCAGCCCCCGGTTACTCCCAACCCCCATCCTCTGCTTCCAGGGCGTTACATGAAGCCAGCCTTGTGCACGTACCCCATGTGTCAGCTTGCTCTGCAATGAAAGGACCTGTTTCTCTGTGTGATGGAGTGTGGCTCACTCAGAACAAATGAGTCTGATGCAGCTCCATTATAGCACCTCTGAATACTGCATTTCCTTTGTTGCTCTTGCCATTACAAAGCATCTCAGCCATAACTCACTTCCTTTCAAAGGAAGCATAATGCTGAAGTGTAAATTAATTCATTATGTAGATATCGTGTATCTCAATTTTATACTCTGCATTTGTTTCCCTTCCTTGACTTTTAATATCAGAGATAGCTAGCTCTACACTAGTAGCATTTTACAGTGCACCTGCTGTGAATAAAATAAAGATTAATTAATAGTTATAGATAGGTCTGCAACTGTAATTGAATAGTTACTGTAAGAAAGAATGTTTGTATTTCAGAATTTGAGATATACTCTGACATACGTAAAGGAAACATATTTATTACACTATGTAATATATAGAACTGTGAATAAAATTGTACCAAAGCTATGTTTTGCAGAATGTATTATTTTCTTAGCACAAATGCTAGCCTGCAATATTGAAAGAGAATTTATTAAAATAGTTTGTGAAAGCAAGATTTGTTTAATAATTAAAGTAGTATTTTTTTTAATTATTCCATAATATTTATGCTAGCAGGTTTCTAGAAACTAGAATTTTTTGTTGTTCTTGTTGATTTAAATAGATTCCTATACCTTTGAACCCAGAAGTGCATTTTTGATGACCTCCTAGCTTCATTCTAGATAAAAATGTGCTTTCTTGGGAAGCTGATTACAGACAATTAAGCCCCAGCCTTGTCCATTACCATTTGCATATCTGCAATCAGTACAAGTGGGATTGGCTGGCAAACTGGGGACGCAGCAAAACGCTCTGTACCGAAACTTCTTAAAAGAAGATGATTTGGTAAATATTTTTAGAGGTCTTCCTAGAACTGTTTATTTTAATACTGGATAACTTTCCCCATTGTTTAAGCTTGAGTTTCATTTCTGCAATATGTTTATACTAATAGTTCAAAACAAACAGTTCATCACAATTTTTTTCTTGCAGTAACTGACTGGCACACTTGATACTGTTTGGTATTTAGCTGCAAAGTCCAACCATTGCCAAAGAGGAGTTATATGAGTTATTATCATCATGTGTTGCTTGGGAACTTTCTCTTAGCTTGGTGAAATTATGGTATCAATAGATCCAGTCCAGGCTATACAGATGAGTGTTTCATATACTCAGTCAACACAATGGTAATAATTTCTATTACCATAGTAAGTGAGTTTTACGTGATCCACTCGTTCTTTTTTCTGATCCTTATCTAAACAAATACCATAATTTTTTTAAAATGAATGCTTCATAATTGTATACTACATGGAGCTAACACAGACACAGGAGCTTGAGTTGAATGTAGGCTGCAATAAATCTGGTTCACTAGTATACAAATTCAGATTTCTTTTTTAATTATTTTCTCTGCAAAAGTTGCTGGCACTACAACACAGTCCGAATAGAAAAGATTCAGTTTTCTTCCCTTATCTTTCAAAGTGTTTGTGCTGTAAGAAATTATGAGCAATTTTTTTCTGAAGTGTCTGCATCTCTTTCACTGTCTACTTGTTTATTCTTAATGTATTTTTTAGAAATTATTTGTTTTGCAGCATCATCTGTGCTCTCTGTTGACCGCTGTATTTTGCTTATATAGCAATGCAAGTGCTCACTTGGATTTTAAACATCTACAAGGCAATTAGAATTTGAGGAGTACCAGTCACTATATGGAAGAAACTTCTGGAAAGACTGATGTACACTCACTGTGTGCTGTAGCTCCATCGGAAATCCATCTCCCTGCTAGTAGGGCCTAGCACTGCAGTGAAATAATAATAGAGAGTTCATGTGCGTGGAGTAGCTGGATTTGCCTTGGGTTTTATTTGGTTTTTGGGAGTTGGGAAGATTGCTTACAGTTCACTTTTTCTGTGAAGCTAGGAAAAATTGAGACAGAGCTGGCCCCGAACTGGCCATGATCTAAAAGACTGCCATAATATATAAAAATAAACTATAAATATATGAGAGGTCATAAAAAGCAGTATATTTTCACATATCCAATATAAACCAATATTACCTAGTTGAACTATTACATGAAACAAATTAGTGAATTTACTTACATAACATGTACTACTCAGTGAATAAATATATGTAAAAACTAGCCTTATGAAATAAGAATTTGTTCGTTGAAAATAACAGGCTCTAAGAAAATTCATAACTGCTTCTAAAAAAAAAATTACTCATCTCCAAAAAAATATCTTGATCAGTGATATGCCTGCATTTCAAAAGCTTTATTTATCAAACTGCTGAGGACCTGGGGACATTTTGAGAAGAAGGAAAAGCTTCACACATGAAAATGCCTGAAAACTTTATGCTACTGGGGAGTAGTATATTCAACAACAATTTTTTTAAGAGGCAGAATAGAATGAAGGCCAGTCTCACTTGTTGCCACATTTGTAACAAATGATTTAAAACAATAATTCCCGTGCTTGGACAGAAGGTTTTATCATAAAGTGCAGTAGAATCTGACTATATTTATTTTCAGTGATGACTGTTGTAATCAGGAACATTCTGGTAACAATAAAATATTACATTCATTAGTCATAAGAACTGTCCAACCAACATGCCCTATGGGATATCTCATTTTGAGCACTGAGGCCTTTTCTAGATGAAGCCGATATAAATGGCTTGTCAGTCTGAGGGAGCTGAGAACTCATCTTTCCCATTCCCTTTTGTGGTTTGGAAGCTGTCTCTACTTTGGAGTGTTGGGTGCCTTGGAAAAAAAACTTTTTCCTCCATATGGGAAAAGTGTAGAGCTGGATATTTTAGTCTAACTTCTTGCAAAAGCCCAGAGAGGAAAAAAATAGGTTTTTCTTTGCTATGGGGAATCTCTCCACTTGGAGTCAGGAGACAGTAGCAAACCCAGAGGAAGAGCCAGCCATCTTAGCCATCCTATGGTAGTCCCTACTTCTCTTCATGGACTGGGGAAATCTTGAGCAGCTCACTTCTTGATTTAAATGCCTCAGCTAAGTGGGATGGATTTAAGCTTTGCTTTCTGTTCATGGCTGTA